ATGTTAAACATTTTAATTCGCATTTATGAATTACAACATACAATATACATATAAGAATTCATACACTGAATTCATATTCCGCCTACAAGATCATTTCTGTTGGCATGAAAAAATCGTATGTTCTCGTTAAAAATGGGGAAAAATGCCAGATATTGACTTTCGTCTCGTAAAAAGGACCTTCCGGTGAACTTAACTTTCCATATAGCCGCCGGGGCTTGTTCGCGAGAAGTTACTTCGGCTCTCAGTATTACAACGGCGGTCTGTTAGCGATAATTTACTTGGGATATTGGCGCGATCTAATTCGGGCGCGCTCTGGCAGCCGACGGATGGACGGTCGTGTCACGTTCGATTATATCCAGAAGGACCACGCTTCGTAGCTACATAGCTTGCTGGAACCTTAAATGAAGTGTTAGTTAACGCGACGAGCTGTCGATCTAGATTACCTGGTCTAGACGCAGTCTCTGCAGAGTGACGTTTCCAGCGGTCCCCCATCGTGAAATGACACTGAGTCGAGAAGTTATATTGCGTTAAAACTTTAAACCCCAAAATTACAAAACCAATACCTCTGAAAATGGTTCTCATAACGAAGATGATAAAAAAGATTAAAACCTAACAGCACGTAATTATATTTATTTTTTCTACAAATTCTACATGCTAGTAAGAAAGCTTTCTCTGTATATTACTGTAATAATATAACAACATTTTGTACGTCGATCACGCATAAATGTTACAGAAAGATATAGCTCATAGATGAATCCACGAAACACAATTTTCAGTTGAGAAAATATACAACTCCTCTATGAGAAATAACTGTATAATTCGTTGGGACGATTTAAAGATAATTGCCGCAAGAATTGCAAAATTATGCGCTTTATACTTCGACTCGGTGACATACCCTCCGACTTAAAGAACGCTTTAACGGCCATTCTGGTTTACTGCCAGCGGCATGAGTTAACACTCGACTACGACCACGTTTATCGTCGACTGTGAATCACTAAGCATACGTGTTTCATGAGAAATGTAAACGCGACAATTATTCCGTCATGCCAAATAACCCGACGCTGATTTGTGTCGTTAAATTGGGCAAAGATACGACTAGAAATGCTTATTTGATTGGATAATGATCTTGTTATTTCTTCGGAATGCAACATAACGATTATACTAAAATTTCATCATGTTCATTATATCAGTGCTTTATTTTTTTTCTCTTCTTTATGTGCCGTTGGCATATTTTATTACTACACTGCGTTAAATTCATAAGATTCAAGCAATACGCTTCATTTCACTCGCTTCTCATCGACTCGTTAGCAGAGTCGATCATACGAATACACGTGTAAACAAACGCGCGGAGTTTTCTGCGAGATCAATCGAACGCCTATGACCGTGCGATTTCTCGTATTCGCAAAGATCGTCTCGCTTCAAAGTAACACAGTCGCAGAGAGGCGGCATCAAGAGTGAAAAGCGAACCCCGGGAATATTTCCTCCGAGTTCGTTTGCGCTCGTTCTCGTCGACCGGGGACGCAATTTCCACTTTTCAAAGAGCCAGAAGAAATTCCGGCCTGCTGATAGGAACACGGCGAGTTGGCAAAACCAAATATGTATTTCGTAGCTGCTTTGATCACCTTCGCGGCGAAAACGCCCACAGCAAACGAAAGGAGACCGACGAAGTCAACGCGAAGCGAGGCTCGTACGCTCGCTCTCTTTCCCGTCTCTATGCAATTTTGCTTTCCTTTTCTTTCTTTTCTCAAAAACGCAGATCCACGAGTTTCTATGTACATGTACAGGAACATTTGTGTACTTCGCCTCTCGAAAGGCGATGCGACCAGAATGCGAAGAGGACAGTCCGGTCTTTTTAACTGTCAGGATTAATTAATGTCGGTCCTTCGTGAGAAATACCGGACCGACGCTACTTTTAAAGGCGCAGAGGATTCCACGCGATGGAATAAGGACGAACACGATGCCGACAGTGCCGAGTGATTAAACTTTCCCGGTACGTGTTTGAACAGGAATAATTAAAACTTTTTCTCTCTTTCTCTCTTCTCACGAGCAAAGAATGAAGCGTACCTTGACGAGCAGTATAATGTAAAAAGATGATAAAATATGCATGCAGGAAGATATTCTCGTCTAGTGTGCGTAATAGAATGTTAACGAACGAGACACAAGATTGATTAAGAATAGAAAGCCAAATTTTAAATCGGGTACTTTATATCTAATTCTAAGAGTGATTATCTAACTCTTATCGAATATTAATATCAAATATAACTCTTATATTAAATTATGAAAGCGTCAAACCAAGTATATTTAATGCTAAATGTAGCATTATTCAAACGATTTAATAAATTTAAGATAATTTAACTTCTCTTTAATTTTTGCAGAAATTATAGATATTAAGTGACATATAATGTGTATAATACGTATTGATGAGCTTCTTTTAAATTTAGTTTATGTCGCTTTTGTACATATCATATGAAACACGAAGTAGAATAACGTAGAATATCACAACTAATATTCGCGTAAATTCGGGTAAAAATTTATGCTCCAGGGTATGTGTACTGATAACCCCATACGAAACTCGAACTGTCATGATCATCACACTGTCAAAAATAAAATGGACACCGGTCGCCGAGAGCATTTTCAGTGAGCCATATTACGTCGCTGCTCGCAAATATTCAGCTTTGATGCTTGATTGAAGGGTATTCTGCACGCGGCTAAAAATATCCACGTATTCGCGCCAGCGAGCTTACCTACACCCGAATAAAAAATCGTTATGTTATTTTTTAAGATCTATAAGCCAGTGATATTCGTTCTTTTTATACGTCACTCGTAAATGCCATGCGTGTTGGCGAATCCGTTTCAGACGTACGGTTGACTGTAATTTTATTTTATTTTTTTACATAAGTATCATAAGCCTACAGACTAATGACAAAAATACTTATAAATTTCATGTGAGACTTTACTTATACAAAAAAATAAATGCCGAAAATTAATTAAAACATTTTCGATTTAGCGCGAGATGTTCCGTATTGACAGTAAACACATCTCTATTTACCCCTCAAAAATTTATTATAAAACAATTGTTTCCAAAGATCCATGCAAAATAAATCTCAAAATTAAAACGTTTGACATGTATCGGATGGTTTTAATATTCTTTATCATCGACACAGATAAAAAGAACAGTGGTGGGTTGTAGTATATTTGAACAAATATCGTTTTCAAATAGAGCTCATGTAGAAGATAAATGGTCCAAGTTTTAATAGCATCCAAATAGCCGTCGGTGTCCACAGGGAAAATCCGAATTTATGAACCTTTAGAAGGATTTAATTTATTTAAATTTCAGACTGGTAAGCCAGGTTTAAATCCTGATTTACCACATGGCTTTTCTTGTTACACGCACACTCGCACTTACTACCTAGGCTTAAGAGAACTGTTATCACGAGTGCTTTTACGCAACTTTTATGAGAGCATAACCGTAGAAAAATCAATGAGCCGTAAATATTTCGTGCCATGAAAAGAGCTAATTAGAGAAATAGTCAAAACTTTTGCAAACCAACCTGTCTTTCATCAGTTTCATCTATACAGTCGTCAGTGATTTTGCGTGTAAATTTAGATAATATATTTATATGTAACTATTCGTTATAAATAAATTATGGAATCAGGAAATTATGAGAACGGATGCACATAAAGCGTGCCGCGCATTACAAATGGAAAAGAATATATTACTAATATTTTATCTCACAGATTCTTTTATACAAAAAAAAATTTTCGATTTTATTCTTCCTTTTGATTCACTTTTTTTCTCAGCAACTAATGTTTAAAACACTAGCTAGTCGAGTTTGAAAAGAAAAAGTATTATGCGTATACAACATAATAAAAAGCCTGTAACGGTATAGATCGCTGAATTATCTGAAAACTTCCGCGATCGGGTCGTAGTTCAAGCGCTGGGAAAACACGCTCCAAGCATAAACCCATTAATCATCGAAGTAGGAGGCACCGATGACTGATGAGATACTTAACTTAACTCGCATCTAGGTGGGTCGAAGATCACTAACGCTTAAAAAGAAAAACCGATCGACTTCGTTTTCAACAATGGAGCTTGCATCCGCATACATCGTTCAACCTGACTGATTCTAGTATACTCCTATAATGAACGAATATAAAATAAACTAAAAATTTGTCACATCAGAAAGGAATTCTGAAAAATCTAAAAGTTTGTAACATTTTTACATAACTCATGCTTATGATCCTAGAATACATATAAGATCCAAAACTGAAGCACATGTAAGAAGTACAAAACGTAATACAAAAAGAAAGATTTTGTATAGAATATGTATAAAATATTTTCTCTATTTTCAAATAAATTTGTATCTCTCATGGCTAAGACAAGACATCGATGACTGATAAGATATTTAATTATAGAGGGTTCGAAGATCACTAACGCTTCAAAAGCTATACATAACGGCTATCTTCTATTCCTATCTTTGTATCTATGCTATACACGAAACGCTTTCGGTATTTCTATTACAGGAAGAATACTGAGAGTTTATATCGTGATAGACTTTCCCCCAGAAAAGATTTAACGCGTTATACGCGTGGATGGCGAAGTTTATTCGTCTCGCTCTTTCTCTCTCTCTCTCTCTCTCTCTCTCTCTCTCTCTCTCTCTCTCTCTTTCTGCAAAGTTAAGTAATTGGAAGGCCCGGTTCTAGTGATTTATCACCGGCTTCTTGACGCACGAAAGGGCGTACAGGGTTAGAGAGGAGGCTGGCGTCTCAGGCGGAGATTGTTGCCGCGTTGACCAATGATCGATCGTTTCGATAGACGCAACGCTATTGTGAGTAGCCGTATGTTGCTGGTCCTCGCACCGAATGGTGATTAAGTGATTTCCGCGAGAAAAATTGCGAGCCAAATCTACCGAGATGTCAGCTTATCTCTTTGCTGTAAAGAATATATCTCACTCGGCGGTCTTGTTACATCTAAACATTTTAGTCTGTTGTGATTTCAGGCCAAAACGATATTAAGAAATTGCGCAGGGAGAACGAGCAGCTGCGTAGGGAAATATGGAGTCTCAGAGACGAGTACGACAAACTTGAGGATATTTTGAAGAAGCAGAAGAACCGAGGCGAAAGCGAAGAGTACGAGGTTGGCAGTTTGATTTTTAATTGCTCAATACTATAAATAATTCACAATAAAACTAATAAAACATAATGAGAGCACATCAATGGATGGAGAAAACTAGCAAGAAAATTCTCATTTTTTCCTATTTCTAAAAATGTTAGCTTATTGTTAGCTAATGAAAGTATAACACCATCGTTACGATTGACATAATTAACGACAATCATGTGTTGGAATCTATCGCAAATTACAGGATCGCTCCGAGGAGGATGACGGCTTGCAGTCGGACTTCTCCTGCGAAGAGGATGAAGAGGAGGACGAAGATAACGAGAAGCCGGTAGAGGACTTCAACCAAGAAGAACAGCTGGAGAATGCGGAGAATCAGAAGATCTCTTCCGAAAAGATGAGCAGCAATATGCATCGACTTCACGTGGAGTTCGACGATCTGTCGGTTGTCGACGAGGAAGAGGAGCTTAAGAGAGATAAGGAGAAGATGGAGGCGACACCGGAGAAGGGCCAGGAAAACGAGGCTGTCGGGCATCCACCCCCGCCGATCCTCGGCCCCCGGCAACTTCACGATAACATCCCGTTTTATCCGGCCACGTACGAGCCGACGAGTGGTTTCAGCGGAACCAGTTATTACACCGAATGCCCGTTCGAGTTTCCGAGTGCGGTGGATTTAATGCTATCCACGGATACGTCCGCATTATTGGCTTCACCGTACTCCGGATTACAGCCTGATCCATTGATCCCGCTAGCCAACTTAGACACCGCTGGTTTGGAAGTGGCCGATCCGAACCTACCTCAAATTCACGTCCCACCCATCGGTTGGCAGAACGACATGGTCTTTCAAAAACAAGTGCCTACTTATACGGGTAGCATTGCTCCCGTCACATCAACAACGGGGATAGGAAAACCGGACTCGCAGCCGATAATAGTTTCCTCGTTGGGAAGCTCGGTGTCGCCATCAAATACTTTCAGTTTCTTAAGCAGGAGAAACGCAAGTACGAGGCAACCCATGAGGCTCCATGAAACATCAGCTACTCAAGATTCACGAACGCAATTTTTGTGTTCCGAAGAAGCGGTCGGCAGAAACGTCTGGAACGTGAATTCTCCTAGATTCGCTGTGGCAAACAGAGAAAATAATACGCAGCGAGTTGAGAATATCGAAGAGACCACGATGCCGGAAAAGCCTAAACACTTCTTCTCACAGCAGCCTTTCAAACTAAAAAGACAAGAAGAAGAATCGCCAACCGCTAGTGTAAGTTATTTTGGAACCGGAACTAGTTCGAGTAGCGGTAAAACAGCTTCTACGGTGGTTTCTAGGACTAATCCTTTCGTAGGGTTAAAAGGTTCAGCGGACATTTACGTAAATGGTGCGATACCTTGTGAAGACGCGAAGGATAAGAATGATCCGAAAACATTTTGGAGTACAGATAACCTATTGATCACGGATAGCAGAAGTGCTCTGGGCAGTCAACTGACGAAGTCGGTATCCTGCCAAGATCTCTCGAGCGACTCTCAGAGTGTCGCGCAACAATTAAAACTAAATCACGTCGAGTCTCAGACGCTTACGAAAAGTGACAATACTCTGGACAGTATAAGCGATTCCTCTAATAAACCGTACAAGAGTCATCTAAACGTGACGTTAAAAGTACCGCGAGTCGAGCAAGCGTCGAGTCCAGATACACCAGAAATACCCAACCTACCTTCGATAGATTACCGTCTCTTTAGGAATCCTTTTTTAAGAAATTTTGATAAGAACTGTCCTAACTATCAAGTAAAACCGAGTCCTCCTCCCACCGCGACACCACTCTCTATTCAAGTGAACGACGACGGCCTCGTTTATCCGTATTCTATGCCGGGTTACGGTCGAGGTGTTCACCTCAACGAGAGATTTCGAGCTGCACACTTGCCGGATCAAAGTCGATTGCTGATACCCAGCGACCAAGTAATGAGCGGCAAGCAGGATATTCAAGTGACTTCCTTCGAGAAACCGAGTCCTTGCAATTTGATACCTTCCGCCACGCCTTACGATCTGACGAGCTTGAGAAGATTAAACGCGAATCGATATCTGCAGAGTCAGAATCTGTACCAGAACGTTCCCTTCGTATCACGAGGACCTGGTCAATTTTATTCGCAGAGATATGGAATGATGTACTATGATAACGTCACGAAAGTACCGGCGCAAACGCAGACGTCGATTGACGGCGATTCGCATCACGAGGACGAGGAGACGATCAGCGCGCCGAATTCGCCGAGCGGACAGAGACGGAAAAAAATCGTGAAGAAAGACAAAACTTTAATTAAAGATCAAAAACCGCTATCGCCGACTGTACAAAGAAAACTAAAGAAACAAACCAGCGCCACGTCGACAGATACACTCGATTCGGCTGGAAAAATGACGCGGAAGAAACCGAGGAGATTGAGCACGACGACGCCCGACGTACAAGAGAACAAGAACGAGAGCAGGTCGTCGTCCTCGGGACAGGACTCGCCGCGCAAAGATCAAAATCGAAGGGTGTCTGTCTACCTCAATTCTAAAAGACGACCGTCTCAAGCGTCATTAAAAACCACGAGGAGTGGTAGTGTCGATGCTAAGGACAAGCTCGCGGATGGTACCGCGCTGAATTCGGAACGCGAAAGAACGAACTCGGTCAGCAGTCGAGAAATTACCAACGTGAAAACTCGCAAGACTAGTACCAGTAGTGGTAATGTGCCATGGTGCGCGTGTTGGGGGAACGGTTGCATTTAATGAAAGCTGCATATTTAATCTCACTCAAGGATGTAACTAGGAAAGCAGAATAAATACAAGAAGTAAAGCGTTAGCTAATTTTAATGTCAAAGTATTGAATATCAATAGTTTAGTTAATTAGTGCATTAATTATTATATAAATAGTATCAATTATTTTTGTGAGCGATGTTTTATTTGTGAAATTAATCTTTATACTTAAAAAAAAAATTACCGAGTTTATCTATGTACCGTTATTTAAAATTACCACGTAGATAAACTATAAAACATATTACTACGCTATATATTATCATTCATTACAAATCTCAGAAATTAATATTCATTACTCAATTACTCTAAAGAAGAAAAATTGGATCGTACTTTCAAATCAGCGATTTTTTCCATCGAGGAGATTAATGCGCCAGATGCGTATTAATCTAGTCACATCACTGATACCATCTGGATATCTTTCAATAGTCTGATCTCGTATGCATCTCGCGAAACATTAAAATGAGAAGCTGTCGCTGGAACCGGACGCAGTGACCCTTATTTATTTAACACAGCTGCGATTTGTGTCAACATTGAAAGGTTCTTGCTACTTTCTGGTCCTCGAGCCGAGAGAGGACCAGGTCGACTAAATAATTCGAAGGGCAAATACCAAAGGGAAATGCTGATGGGCCGCGGAATGAATTCAGGAAGGAAGGCCTTAACTTCCCGTTGCTGGTGTAAGGGAACCGCCATTGTAGTCGGTAACGCAGGTCGTAAAACAAGCACAGACAACGGTTCTATGGTGTTACTAACGCTGTCACAACGGGGTGACAGTTGTATCTAAACTAGTTCTGCCAAGAGACCAGGAAGACGAGCCTGCATCCGCTCTTAAGGCAAATTTACTGGGGTTAGCAAGCGCAAGCTTGTTCTAAGCACGCGTGCGAATAATGGTATACATTCTCGAATTATGTAGATTTTCTAGTAGCGATTATTTATAATTAGATTTCACAAACCATATAAAAGTCGGAAGTATACCTATATAAAAACATTAGATATTTTTAAAAGATCTTTTAGATTGTATTGTTGTCATGTTTTATACAAAAGATTTTGCGAATTTAAAATCAAAACTTGAAAAATTCTTGTCATGACAAAAACTGTTATCTATCGTTCATTATCATGCACATTAGTTATAAGTATTACTTTATATGCTGCAAAGCTAAACAAAATACTACATATACAAAATATTATTTCTAGTCATTTGATAGTTATATATTTTATTGCATTTTAATGTCTTAATTTATTTAAAAAAATTACAAATTATAGATTCTACGAATATGTGGCAATAAGTATTCTACGCATTTACAGCATTATAGCTAATTTTTAAAATAATAATGATGAAACAGTAAATGTACATAAGTAATTGTATATGCTGTATTAGACTAGTACAGTATACACTTGTATATAATTTGTATATTTTGATAATTAATTTATATCAATATATTATATATTTATGTCCGACGTATTTAATGTAAAGTCATGTGTATAATATTTTAGATTTAAAAATGTCAATGTTAGAGAAAGAGTCTATAGAACAAATCTTATAAAATGTGTTTTAATAACGCATTGTACTTTTATACTTTAAGCGTTTTAAAATACAACATCGATGTATTTTGTACTCAAGTGAATTATTACTTCCTATATTTCTAATGACCATTAGGTAATAATACTCCCAGCCAGTCTCACATTATATTCCTGCGAATCATCGATTATCCGGTTGCGTGAAATTTATTAATGGCCCAAGGGGTACAAGGGAAACTTAGCGGCAAAGTTCGCGACTATCCTTTCGCGGAAACTTCTCCGCGCCGTTATTCGTCGTTCAATTACACGCGAAAATGAAGAGAGAAAGATACGAAAAACGAGAGACACCGTCAATGCTCTTCAGATTTTATGGTAGAAAAACATAATTAAAATTCTGTATAAATAAGGCAATTATCTTTTCGCATTGTAAAATAATAATTACTATTTTAGTTAAAATAATAATTAATAAAAAATAGATTTTATATTGCCCTTGCGTTTGATTTAGTTTCTTATTCTTGCATTTAGCAAGAGGATATAATCGATATATCGTAAATCTTACGGTGCGTGACTTTTTTTTTAATTTAAGAATCGTTCTTAAAATTATAATTCTTATGTTTCAAGAACTTTGTTATTTTCAATCATGTTGAAAGATGTAAGATTATTTATAAATATATTTGAAACAGACGAATTTCTTTGACACAGGAAAAAGTATTTCTTAGCAGGAAGATTTAGCAACGGATATACGAGAATAATATTATCCGACACAGAGAGCACTCATCCCACATTTCACTAATCGCTGCTACAACATCTGGCAATATATTTAGCGCAGTTGCGAGCACGCGGAAGTATCAACCTCCTAAATCACCGTAAACGTGATTCGTATTCAGAGAATCACGTTCACGGTAAGAATTACAATTAACAACAGCAAATTTAAATAAAAAATGTCGGTGATATTCGAGCAGATCTTTGCGAGAAACTGGGAAGAGCTGGTTGGGTCGCGTACGACGAGTGTTAGCGATGAGGGCGGCAAGGAAGGTTGCCGGTGCAATTAAAATGCAAATCGTCCCTTTTCCCGCGGCCTGTCCGCTAGACCATCTTTCCAGGAGGTTTCTGGTCCTCTCGCGTCCTCGCAACTCTACACCATAATGGTAACGCCGTCACCGATTAACTTGGAACTAGTTTAGGAACGACTCGACTCGACTCGGCTCGGCTTCGCTCGGCTGCGCAAAGTCACACAAGGAGCGGGAACAAGACGCGGTCTTTCGCTTGGTCTCTCTCGCAAAGTGCCACGTAAATGGAAGATGGTACGTTAATACGGTCTAACATCATTTGCAAATGTCACTGCGAGACGTGCTCCTGGCATCCAACGCAAGGTACGTGAGAGAGGTGTGTTTCGTCTTATCGTAAAAGGGACAAACCCCTCGTATTGCGGCGAATGTGGAAATTATAACAGAGGTTTCTAAGATTGTTTTAATATTATATTTTTCTAAAAAATTTGATGATCACCCGTATGCATCGTTTTATTTATATATGTTATAAATACAAGTCATATAGCTCACTACATATACATTTAACATTTTTGTACTTTTACTCATAATTAGTTTTATTCATAATAGAAAAAATTCATAGTTCAGGAACGTCTATCCTTTATATTCGGGATTTTTCTCAATATGTTTCAGGTATTCGAGCAAAACAAGAAAGAATTTAATAAGATTACGCGTGAATTTCAAAGTTTTATTTCATATTTCTCGCGCTCTGCTCAAACGAACAAATCGTTACCGAGACGAGTATGCAGATTAATCGCGAGGCAGCGGCAATATCGCTGTCATCTGTCTGCAAAATAACTACGGAATGCGGACAGGCCGGAAGTAACATCGTATTGTCTTCGTGGAAATAGCGCGGAACAAGATGGAAGAGACAGTACCTTAATGGCCTGATTTCATTTGCAAATGTCATCAAGAATTTTCACTCCACCCGGCAATGGAAACGTCTCGCGTTTCTCATGCGAGATGATAAGCGTAATAATGTGCAATGGCATAATTCCCACTAACGCATGCTATACTCAATTAATTATGCGGAAGAACTGCTTCTGTTCGCGTTCAATTTACAGATTACAAAATACTGCATTATGTCGCGGCAAATGCAAGCGTGTCTACAAAAATACTATCACGAGTAATAATTAGAGCGCGTAATAATAAATAAAACTGACTCTAAAAATATATTAAGCAATATATTTTAAAAAGAAGCAATTTCGAAATCTTATTCAATTTTTATGAAGACATTATGATGTTGGAAAAGCATTGTTATAAAAAAAATTTAATTTGAAGTTTTCTTTCTCGAAAACATTTGGTTTTCAGTTTATACAAGGTTACCAATCAACTTTGTCGAGATATCAATATGTAAATATCAATTTTTCGCGTAACCATGGAGCAACGCTAAAAAATGTAACTGTAACTTTTAAAAAGATATGTCTATAACTTTGGCGATTGTCCAAGCATATCTTTATTTGCGCGTGTCTCAGTTATCGTGGATCCTAATTAAGGACTGATCGTCAGCCAGTATTCATAAATATAAAATGTGAGACGTGATTATCCGCTGTTGCAACGTTCGTTAAGATAATAAGCTTTAATTATGCACTTCATAAACCTTCTGTAAATTCCGTCAGTGTACGATCAGGTCACTGACAGCGGACGTGACGGCGCCAACTCAGATTTTTGTAAAAAAAAAACCCCTGTTGAACGATTCACGGTTCCAAAGAATAAACATGTGCGGTACGAGAGATGTCTTGTCATATTAACTCTAGTCATGGAATGAATTACACTCGATAATTTCGTCCAAAAAAGTGCGTGTAAAAATTTGCATAATAATTTTCAATGAAAGGATACACGATAAAGAAACTTGGCGGCGATATGGCAATGTTCCTGAAAATTTTGCGAAGAAGAAGACGTCAAGGGGGTGATCGGCTCGAGTTTCGTTCGAAAGAAATTTCTGTCTTTCGAATTCGCGAAAGCTCTCGCAAGAATCCGCAAATCCGTCTCTGTCCTCGCTGTTTCCCCGTCGCTTTGCGTTATGAACTTTCACGAAAGTTTCGCAAGCCTTTAACTTGAATGCGCGGACCTTTTGCTCCGGCGGAAATTTCACGTAAGTTCCATTACGTTTTGCGCAATTTTACGATTATGTTTCCGCAGTAATCAGTCCTTATTGCCAAACTTTCTGCATTTAAATATAACGGACTCTTTACTTTATGTGAGCGTACAAAATTTAAATTAAAATTTGCTCAGTTGGTCTTATAAATTGATAAAAAGTTTAGGTGAAATTACATATGTAACATAAATTTCATCGGTTAATATAACTTTTCGTGCAAACTATGATATGCAAAATATAAGTATCAAAAATAATTTGAAGCAAAGAAAATATCTCAACGTGCAATCGAAAGTGTTATTTAAAAAATATCTTTTAGAACTATTAAATAAATGCATCTATATAAATTATACTTAGTTTTTTCTTCTCTCTTTCCATTTCTCTTCTTTCGTATTTTATGATAAAATTTTTCGATAATAGGAAAGAATAATTTAATGATAAAAGTATGCTAAAGTTATTTTGCATAAGTATTACAAAAGAAGAAAAAATGAAAATGTTCTTGGAAAATGTTCCTGGCACTTACAATACATTACATTTAGAGCCCGCGATTTAATCTGACAAGAAAAATACGCAGTTAATAATCTCTGCAATAAGGATAATGAACATTGGTGCAAAGATAATGAATATTTGTGGCCGCATAAGTTTAAAAAATTTTTAATAAAATTCGGGCGAAATCAAGTCATGTGTGTCGCGGTTTCGTTTTTTTACCGAGTAAACGAAATAACTAGAGAGTTGTCAGCCCCTCCCGGACAGGAAATTCAATATTCCCGCTTAATAAGCAGGATATTTGCTCGTGTTGTATGCCGCGGTAATATTCCGTAATACGCGTTCAGCGTGGTGCTTTTTTATACAAACATGCTTTTTTCTTTTTGGTGATTCGAAATAAGCAGTAGTAACATATTGGCGGCTCTGCTTAACGGAATAAAAAGCCAGATACATTATGCACATCGACCGTGGCGTGACATTTAGGTCGCTTTAAAAGGGCTTTTAGAATTCGCTTATTGAATATTATCGGAAATGGAATTATACATACCGCAGCGGAACGAAAATAAGTCAAGATGAACAGATAAAACAAAAGTATTAACAAAAAAAGAATTAATCAGGTCAAATCCGAAATAATTTATCGAGCAGCATTTTCGATTCAAACTGTATTACAGATATCAAAGTATCTGTAGATTGTGTATGAAAATTGGACTTTATTTCATAAAAAAATATATTTTAAATTTAAATTTAAAAATTGGATTATTTTAGTTAAAATATCACCGGTAAAAATGTTATACTTTTTATTTCAGCTGCCTGCAATGCTTTCTATTCAAAACCTCGTGCAAAATAAATACCTATTTTGCTACAAAATACATATCGCGCGATTTGTCTTTTTAATAAAATTTAAACAAACTTGTTTAAAAAATAAGCCATTATTTATATAACGTTATCAAATGCAATGTTATCTTGATTGTTTAAAATACTTTTTATTGGAAAACTCTATTGCAGTTATATAAATGATTAAAACGACTAAATTGATTAATAAATATATATTATACATATTTAGACACACGGGAATGCTATGACATAAATTTACAGTGAATTATGGATAGATCTTAAGCCGAGACGCTCTTTTTAACATTTCCGTGTGCGAGGAAAATGCAATTTTCTCGAATAGCGTCAATACTAGCAAGCTGCAATTCGATCGTGAGGAATATTCCGCCAGGCTTTCAACGCTTTCATCTCGAATGCTCGGCGTTTCAAATTTACTATAATATCGTCCAAGAAACTTTAGAAGGTAAAAGAAGAAGAAAGATATTATGGGAAGAGCACGAGACCGACGTGAGGAGAATTAAAAGGATACCGATGAAGTGGTGGTCCCACTTCACGTCCGATCGAGAGGGGTTTCATCAACGGAAGAGCTAATTATCGCTGCTTTGTATTCAGCACGCGATGCTTCGAGACGAAGATATT